GCCCTGGTAGCCATTGAAGCATTTCAGTTGGGGAACAGCTTGGTTAACTTTGTCTGTTAGAAAGGTTGCTAGAGATGAGATTGGTGCTGAGTAGAAAGAACACTTAGAAAGCCAGTGTAGTAATAAGGCTGGTGGCCACGATGGTGGAATGAAGTAGACAGGTTGAGTAGATACTTAGGAAGGAGAATCTACAAGATTTGGTTATTGATTAAATGATGAGGATGTGGAGAGAAGAGGGAATTCCCAGGTTTAGCACTCAAGCCACTGAATAGTGACTCTCTAGCCTCTGGAATAGAGAACATAGGAGGAGCAAGTTGGGGATCACGAGGAAGATTATGACTTTGAGTTTGGTTTTGAACACAGAGACTGAAGTACTTATGGGGTAGTCAATTAGAGATACCAGTAGGCAATATGATATTTGCCTAGAACTCAGGAAAGAAATATGGGTTAAATATATAGACATGGGAGTATTTGGGATATATAAGATAATTGAAATCTTGGAGGACATATTAGAAAACTCAGTGAAACTGTGTTGAATAAGAATATAAATAGTATAGGAACATCGATATTGTGCAGAGGATAGGGAGCCCTCAGAAATGACTGAGAAGGACCAGCGAGAGAGAGGGATTAAAACCCAGGAGAGTATGATGTCATGAATTCCAAAGAAAGAGAATTTTCTAAAAAGAGCCTCTCAGTCATGTATCTAATGCTGTCTGAGGAGGTCAGTAAGGTGAGGACTTAAAAGTTGCCATTGGAATAGCCACAAGATTGCTGTAACTTTGGGAAGTTATATGGAACTCAAGAATTTGACTACAGTGGGTTTAACAGAGGGGATGGGGTAGAAGCCATACTATAGTTAATTGAGAAATTAGTGGAGGGAGACACTAGAAAGCAATTGGCTGTGAAGGAGAAAAACAATCAAAGCTGGAAGGCGAACATGAGGTCACGTGGGACTTTATTTATTTGAAGATGACAGAAACTAAACTTACTGGAATGTGGATAGGAAAGATTCAGGGGAGTGGAGAGGAGGAGTGAGGGGGGATTTGAAGATAAAAGGAAGAGAAAGGAAGCAATTTATAGAACAGGGTTCTTGAAATAGTAGGAATGGATGGGATTCAGAACACTTGGATGGTGAAGGTACACCTTTTCCATTATAACAGAAGAGGAAGAAAGGATGGATTCTTGAGTAGATAATTTTATCTTTTTGGTGGGAGAGAGGTGAAGGAGTTCCAATCTGATGATTTCTGTTTTCCTCTTTTGGCTGCTGCTGATGGAGAGAGGGAAGATGGGGCTCAAAAGAAAACAATAGATAAGTTTAAAATAGTCACTGTGGAGAAGATATAGAATAATACTGAGGCAGAGAATGAGATTTATTGTGGCATTAAGTCTCAGTTGAGGTTAGACACCATGAATGTATACCAGAATCAATCTGCCAGATATGTTAATTTTCTCTAACGTTTCTCAGAAGCCTTGGTGTAGGTGTACAAATGGCAACTGATTGTATTCATCCAAGACTGGTGTTATTCTAAAAAATTATGAGAGTACAATGGGGCAAGTAGATTAAAAGATAAAAGTCTCTGCTTCCTTATCTGAAATTATAAAATTCAAGGGGGTCTGAAAACTGAAGAGTTTTTCATAACTCACGTAGTGGGGAAACCTGCTCTGAATGATGTGAGGCTATTTATAATCTTTATTTATCAAATTTAGTGTATATATCCATATGTTTTGCTTTAGAAATTAATTTGTATAATTATGGGGTGCTGCCCTAAATTTTGATGGGGATGTTATATCATATGTGGATTATATACTGTGTAACTGTTCTTAAAACTGGAAAAAATTTGAATTGTGAAGAACCTCAAAGTCTTTAAAAAAGAACATGTTTCTGTGTTAGCAGTAAAGAGGTTGAACAATATACTATGAAATCTAAGCTGGATAAGGAAAAAGGGGAAGATGGGGAGGGTAGTCCATTGGGAAAAAGTAGGATGCTTAAGGAAACAGATGACTTGAAAGAACTGGTGTATTCAGGATCAGATGAAAAAATTGGGAGAACAGGAAGTGTGGTAATTAGAATGTATAAATTAATTATTTCCAAAGAAAGACAGTTCTGAGTGGTTACAAAGTCCAGGGTGTGACCATGGGGAGTGGGCAGCTGAGCTGTAATGGAATAGGTCATTAGAGATGAGGTCAAGAAACAGAGAAGCAAGAAAATTAGATGAATTACACAGAGTAATGGGAAGATTTGGGATGGAATGGAATACTACAAGCCAGGTTCTCAGATCTGCAATGAATGAGGCTCTGTGGAAGATCTGTAAGATACCAGAATATTTAAGACAAGGTCTCTACTCTTCCCCGGACCATGATCTCTTTAAGAAACAGACAAGTAAAACAATAAGTGATTATACAACGTGGTAAGTGTAACAATAGAATCATGATCTAAAAGCTGTTAAAGTCTAAGTGAGGAAAGAGATTCTAGAGGTCTGGACAGGTCAGAAGACTAACCGTTCAATAAGCGTTTCACGTTGTTTTGGAGCTTTC